AATCACGTAATCTGGAAAGCTCTATTCAAAACTTTAAGCGGTAATCATGCAATAAAAAATATTTTTTTGCTGACTTTTTAACTTTTGAAACGTTCAACTTTATAATAAAAAAGTCGCTTTTTTCTTTAGTTAGCTTATTCAAACACGCTATATTACCTTCTGATAAATTAAGATGAAACATTGAGTGATAAACAGATTAAATATTCTTAAGAGAAAAGATAACTTCATGATTAAGCTATTTGATAAAGTTCTAGATAATAAAATAAAATATTAATATAACACTGACCCCAAACGTGTGGAGTCATTAAAAGTTCTAGACTCTAGTGTAAAATGGCAAACATTAAAACAGAGAGCACGTCTGCATTTGTACTCTAGAGTGGGAAATGGCAAAGATTAGATAGAAACAGAAAATCGTGCTGACATTTATATTCCAGAGTGAGGAATGACAATGATTGGATTAAAACAGAAAATCGCGCATTTATTTGTACTCTAAAGTGGGGAATGACAAAATTTAAATAAAAATAGAAAATCGTGTTTGCATTTGTACTTTAGAGTGGGGAATGGCAAAGGTTTGTTATGAATTTCGCGCAAAGCTACACGAGGGCTATCTGCGCTAGCCGTCCCTAATTTAGCATTGTAAGACTAGAGGGAAGGTAGCTAATAATCACCTCTCACCGCCAACTGTTGGGCTACTCTTTTACCAACGAATAGTGGGATTGACCGCACTTATAACGCCCCCACGGCTGAAAGGGCGAGCATGTTTGGTGTAAATGGCAAAGGTTAGATTAAAACAGAAAATCGCGCACTTATTTGTTCTCTAAAGTGGGGAATGACAAAGATTAGATAAAAATAGAAAATCGTATTTGCATTTGTACTTGAGAGTGAGGAATGGCAAAGGTTAGATTAAAACAGAAAGTACACCTGTATTTGTACCCGAGAATGGGGAATAGCAAAGATTATATCAAAACAGAAAATCGTAGCTGCATTTATACTTTAGATCGTAAGATAATAATAACGAATAGAGAACTCAGCAAAAATAATCTCTAGAAAAATGATTTATTGTCACCCGAGTTGACAAGGCCACAATACACATTGCTTCCTGTTAGTTGCCTATACGTTAGCAAGAGAACACCTGCTCTATGGATAATGCTATCTCGAAGTGTAACCTACAGAATGATAACAAGCTGTTCAGTCTTATTCGCGTACCGTAGGATCAATATAAGTCAAATAACCACATTTTAATGTATTTCTGAGAGGAATTCTGTGAAGGAATAAGCTCAAAAGAGCACGTAAATTATAACACCAAGAAAGATCAAGCATACCTTTTCCCCCAGTTTCTCTTTTCGATGTTAGGAATTTCTCAAACAAACAAAGGTCAAGTGAAATATGTTCGAGGACAACTGTTCTTTAATTCTGCCAGAACCATAAGTTAGAATTAATATCATATTATTACTATCTTTCAGCCTTAACGACAGTTATTTTGAAATATCTCATATGATAAGTAGGGGTCTAACGATGAAGGAAATTTTTAAGTTCCATCCTATCACGAAACCACTGGTGTTTCATACCTAAAAAACGTATTGCTTTTGTGCACAAAATCAGCTGTTATATGTATTCTAAATGACAAGCCCCTAGACTTGCAAAAAATTTTATATTTGGGTTTTAAAAAGTTGCCGCAGATTAGACATATTCCATATTCCCATTCTTTAGGTAGGAAGAACACTGTCATCCCATTCTACCACATTTCTTGTAATAAGAAATAACCCAGATATACGCGGGGGTTGAGTACATTATGTTAAACTAAGTTTTACGTCGTTTTAATCATGTCACCACGTCCGATCATGCTCTATCTGATGACCGTACATCTTGAAAATAGCCCTGTAGAATGGTATATATTTTAAAAGGTTACGTTTTAAGGCTGTCATGTCCGAAGCGCACCATTATCAATCCTCCTATCCGGCTCCCTCCAGTGGCACACGGTATGTCCGCGGAGTTACAACGCTAGAATCCGGGTTTCGATACCCGTGATGGGCAGAGCACAGATAGCCCATTGTATAGCTTTGTGCTTAATTAAAAACAAACAAACCTCCCAACTCAGTGAACAAAATTTTTAGGGTTAAAAGTAGCAGTTATGTGTCAAAATCTGAAGGTCATATAACATGTATTAAAACGATATAGCTTCATACATATAGCCAGAGTGGTATTCAAAATGTTATCTCCATTCTTGACTTCCCTTTACACTTCTTCTGTAAAACAAATTGCATGCTATAATGTTACACAATATAATGTTTTCAAATTCATAACAAAAATTTGAAAATGCGTTTCACAATGCCAATAATAAGATTAGTAAAAATCGAAAAAACAACAGATTTTAAATTTTATTGAAGCGATCCAT